GCGATTCCAGAGATGCAGAGCTGCCAGAGCAGTTACCCCCTGTTGACACGGGGTTCTGTCAAAAGGGACTCACTGAGCAAGTAACTTTTTTGGCTGTACTGTTGGTTTGAGGACACTGGAGGCATATTTGACAAATGCATTGTGGCAATATGCATGCTTGAGTAAAAAACAAATCAATGCAGCATCTAGTTCAGGATGTTGGACTATGCACAGAAAAGCCCCTCCCAAATAAGTGCTCAAACATGGTCCTTCCCGAGACGTTCGCAGAGTGCCACCTTCCTCTCTTTGCTCACACATAGACATATAGGCGCACACAGTGAGCTATTGTGTCTGAAAGAGCTCAGGCATCTGGAGAGCAGAAACCCCCTCTGATGACCTCTGACCTCTGGTGGCTGAGACTTGTAGACTGACATGAAGGCCTCTGTCAGACTTGCAGGTGCCTTCGAGGGCTGTCAGAGACCTTACAAAGCATTATTGTTTGTAGTGTGTGCATTAATTTTGTCTCTGCAGTAGTCGCTGATTAACAGTAATAAGTCAAGAGGAACAAACCTGCTATTTTAAGTTATTTCAGCACACCAAACCATTTAGAAACTCAAGGCTTTTACAATTGTTTTCTGTTGTTTTTTTTGTTTTTTTTGCAGGGACTTAAAGTTGCTTACTGGGAGTCATATGGAGTTATTTAGGATGTATCATGTTGTTCACAGCAGCAGTATAAGATCAAACTGTGTGAAACTCTCAGGTTGTAGTCACCTCTTGACATTGCCCAGAAACCCAGTCACAAGTCTTTTGACAAGGTGCCAAGACAAACTGGTTGGTACAGTTCAGTAAAGCCACACAAAGCTGACGCTTCAGGGGCTAGATACGTTATTGGATATTCATTTGCAACACAGTGACACTCACTATGCGGTTATCCTAGTGTTTGTCTATGCTAGCTGCAACCTATTATTCCAGCTGTGTTTTCTTGTTGGCTGGTGTTTAGGTGAAGTGCAGCTGCAGTGTACCCTGTCAAGGTAAACAAATGGACAACAGAAGCTCCCCTCTGTTTGCTGCTGTTGAAACGCCAAGCCTCCTGGCAAGCTTCATGTTGCTATGTGTTGCCATGGCGACGCTATCACAAAGGACTCCAGCTGGTTCTCAGTGCGTGTGTGTGTGTGTAACGGAGCGAGTGGGAGAGATGGACAGACAGACAGAGCCGACAGACGGAGATTTACCCCCACCACTCCTCCTCCTCCTCCTCTGTGTTCTCTGTTCACTATTCTCTGCCCTCTCCCCTCTGGCAGACCCTCATCCCAAACACAGTGCAGATGGGCTCAGCTGTCAGTGTTCCCCTCACACTGACCGCCTCCTTTTCCTGGCCTCTGCATTTGTTTGGTTGGTGGTGGATTTGTCGGCCGCGTGGGGGAACCCATTCCTGTTAGAGCCTCTTAAACCAAACTGTCTGCTCTTTGAAGTGACCTCTCACAAAGATACACAGATTGGAGATTAGAAGGCAGCTGCCTGCCTTCAGACTGTCCACTAACATGGACACAGTGATTAAATAAAGGAAACAGCATACACCTATGCAGACACACAACTGGGACACAGTGATCAACAGAGCCAAAAAAAAAGGTGGCTAGCAAGTCTGTGTTTGTTCCGGAGGCTGAATGGAGTCCTTGCTTTGTCTCAGGGGAGGGAAGATGGTTTTCATTGATATTATCACTTCCAGGGGTGGGGGTGGAGGAGTGCTCTGCCAAGAAGAGCTGCTCTTCACACCAACTTGTCGGCATGGGACTTTTGAAGCATTTGTCAAAAGAGGGATTTGGCAGAGAGCCATTAGGAGTTTTGTCATTCACAAACTCCTCTCTTCTTTGGGATGACAATGCACAGCAGGCTGCACCTACCTCAGAGAGGGGAGATTAAATTCCATAACCCCATTTCCATTAAGGAAGGAAGTTGTTCCCATTTTTGTTGCACACAAGAGAATGTGAATGATGTCTGTCTTCTTTTGTAATCAAAGGTGTGTTAACCTGATATTACAAAGTGGCGGAGAAACTTTTTAGTGCACTCCTCAGTGTTTATCTGTGGTTGGTGAAGAGAGTTTTCCACCTTCTGTCTTGAGGGTCTGATGGAATCCTGCATTGCATTCCTACTTTACTCTGTCCTTGACTGCTTGTGTGTGGGGGGAGTTTGGGGGCAGCGTAATTGTCTAATGGTTTCAAGGCTGTAAAAGCATCAAACTATTTTCTTATCATTTCTGTGGAAACCTTGCTTCTGTCAGTTGTTGTTTTGGATGGTTGACAGTTGATACGCTCTCCTTATTATTGCAAGACAGACCAAGCGGGAGAAGATTTTCTTTTTTCTAACATAGGAGCATAAATCTACTCATTTTGCTAAATGTTTGATCACAGACCTTTATACATGCTTGCACATGAGTCATTGCCATGGGTTGGGTCACTGTTGACAACTGCTCCTAATGGATGGAGAGTATATCAGTGGCAGGAAGTCTGTGGTCTCCCTTGATGTGGAAAGATTGAAAAGCTAAGATGGCTTGTGTCAATGTTATTTGTGTGCCTCTGCAGGCCTGTGTGTATATATATGTGTGCGTGCTTTTCCTGAGTGTGTTTACTTACCCTGTCTCGACTTTCAAAACGCCTGTCATTCTCCGACATGTCTGGCTTCCGCAGTGACAGCTAGGTGGGACACGGAGCGTCGTCTCCTGTTTCATACGGCGATTTATTGAGCGTGTGAAAAACCCTTCTGGGTATGAGAGGAGCAGATACATGTAGTCATTCAATCTACACACGCACATGTGTGTGACTTTTAGATAACTTCAGGGGATAGACGTTCCAACAGGGTTTGACATTCTGTCCTTTGAACCACCATGACTGATAGGGGGAGACCTCGCCTTCTACCTCAGTGTGAACGCATGTGTGTGTTCACTGTGTGTTTTTGTTGTCTGGTGGGAGGGAACTCAGTGACCTTTCCAAAGATTAGCTCTGGATGACAATCATATTCCCTCAGACATCGGTGAAAATTTGAGACAGCGGCGCATATTGTGGTATGCTCACATAGCTCTGCCTGCTTTGGCAGTAATTTCTGCAGCATCTCTGAAAAGAAATACATTTAGATGTAGAAAGAAATATTGCAAATCATCTTCTTTTGTCTTTCTTGTGGTTTATTTCACCGCCATCAAAAACATTCATATTAACAACAGTGATCTCATGTCAACACAGCAAATCCATCTGAGGACTTTCCAGCTTGTCAAAACCTGACTGAAAACTCACCTGGGATCATCCAGTCACTGCTGGTGAAGCAGAAGGGAGGCGGGAGGGTGGGTGCAGGGGCAGGGGCAGCGGATGACTCTTCAAAGCGAGAGGATGAAGTCAGCCCCTCTGTTCATCTCCGATATGTTAAGGCCTCTCTGTAGCTGTCAGTGAGTTGGCAAGAGACAAAGCAAACAACATCCCTCTCTAATAGTTTTAGACATGGCTTCTCACACTGGGTGTGGTTGACAACAGTTGTCTGCTGCATGCAGAGCCGTGATCTCACTACGGTAGGATGTTTGTGTTTTGTAGGGATTAAATAGATCAGGACACCCGATGTCCTATGTTTACTTCATAGCACACAGAGACAGGAAGGAGATTCTAAGGCATAATGAAGTTAGGAGGCAGCTAATTTAGTCTTTCTCTGGGCTTTTTTGTACTTTGACATGTTTCTATCCACAGGCTTCACTTGTTTTTTTTTGAGAGGCTTCATTGTCTCGGCAAAACCTGTAGCTGTAACCTGAGAGGGAGAGCACACAGGTGAAAGGAGGGAGCCTGTTACTGAGCAGCACTGTTCTGTTTAAATATCTACTTGCTTGGATTTAATACAAAGCCCTTTACAGTGCACTGAGCTCTCCAATATAATGTACCTTGTGTGCTGTGTCCTAAACATAATTTAATTTCTGTGCAATTACTGTATGTGTACAAACAACAGCAAGGTACACACATATGCAGGGCTATGTTTGGCACCAGTAAATTGTTCTGGATGTGTACAGCATGTGTGAAGAGGGCTTAACCATCTAGATCAGTGGGTCAAGTTACTGACAAACTAATCTTATTACTAAGAGAGGCTTTGATTCGTTCACATTGCTCCTAATCTACTGTCTATTTTGACTCAAACCTGTGGGTAAACAGTCTGCTGTCGCCAAAGTCATTTTCCTCTCATGCAGTTAAATTGTTTATTTTTTTTTGTTATTTACATTTTTTGATTGCAGTATTTTCAGCCGCTTTCTTCTTCATCTTATTTTCTACATTGCATGTTATGCAACGTAGCCATTCCTGTTGTATTTTCATACTTTCCAATGTTTCAAATGATTTTTACTCTTTATATTGAAGCTGTAACTTTTTCTCTGCTGGTTATGTTTAATATTCCTTATGTATGCATCATTTACTTACTGTCTTATTCAATGTACTGCACTATACTGTATTGCACTGTTTCAGAACAAACTGCCAATTGGGATCATAAAAGGGTAATTCTAGTGATTAAGTAGAGCATTTTAATAAAGGTGGGGAACTCGCATGAAAAAAAAAACAGAACAGTTAAAATTGCAGCAGCAAAAGCCTTGACATTTTTTCCTTTCAGTCTTTGGTATGGATTGAATTCTAAGATCACAAAAACACTGGGTTTCCCACAGTGCAACCCAGATGTACTGTTCACTTTACCCCTCTGCTTGCTAAATGTCTGCTTTTTTTTCAAACTCCACACCTCCAGTTTGTAATGCAGCATTTCAGGTAAATCTCAAGCCCAAGACAAGCTAACCTTGATAACACCATTACAACATTATCAGGGTTATACTCAGACTTTTCAGTGTCATCCCCCGCCCCCAAAAGACATAAAATTTATGTGTAAAATTGGTGTAATGCCCCTTTAACATTTCAACTTATTATCTTTTGTATTTAATGAATTAAGTGGTGTTGAAGTTGTATTCCTTCACTGTGTAGTTATTTGCTACATGTATCCCTGTCTGTTCCCTGCAGTGTCATCATGCATCACCACCTACAAGAAGACACCACCCCCAGTCCCACCACGAACCACCCCATCCAAACCCTTCATATCCATCACGGCCCAGAGCAGCACTGAGTCCGCCCAGGATGCCTACATGGATGGGGGCTGTGGCCCACGGACGGGCATCAGCTCCCAACCTGGCCTGTCCAACTCCATGGAGAGCATTGACAGCATGAAGGCCCTGACAGCAGCCATAGAGGCAGCTAACGCTCAGGTGCATGGCCCCCCCAGCCAGCACGTCACCAACAGTACCATCACTATCACTGCCACCGCCACCACCTCCGCTGTCGCACATGTCTCCGCAGACAGCAAGGCGCAGAGGGAAGCACTCCGCAAGTGCCTCTCCATAGGGATCCAGGTTTGTGTACAAGCCCAGGTTTCTGTGGAAGTTAATTAAAAGAATAAAATGTTGGCATGCAGTTTCACAGTATCTCCCCCTCGTCTTAGGTGGACCCAGAGGACAGAGAGCCAACAGACGAGCAGTCTAAATTCCAGTCAGTGGGAATTCAGGTGGAGGATGAGCGATGGTAAGTAGAGAGAAAGTCTCATGGCCCAGATCAGGCAGAACAGAACAGGAGACTGACTTACAGAGACAGAGGGAGGCATGCAGTGAGCAGTAAATGCTTTTGCCACCCTGCACTGGCTTGCAGCAGCTGTCTCCACTTCAGGGGAGGTTGGCGTCAGAGCCCCCTCAGCCAGGGGCCCTAAGTGACAGCTGGGCCAGAGGATATGGTGCAGAGAGCTGGGAAGGTGGAGGGGGTTAGTTGACAGCCATCTGTTGCTCCAGTCATTGTGATTCAGAACACTTTGAGACTGTGTTTGTGTATGTGTGGGTAGGGAGGGAGGGAGGGAGAGAGAAGGGGAGGGGAGAGGATTTTACTGGTCCTGTTTAGTATTGAGTACTTAGGGACTGCTATGCTGTCTGCTACAGCCACTCATTCTACTACAGCCGCTCATTCTGCAACACGTTCTTAGTTTAAGGAGCAGCAGCCCAGTGAACACTGTTTCATTAACTCACATCACACCAGGCTTACTGTGACCTCTGGTGGGACTCGTGTCAAAACCACATCAAAACTGTGACCTTCTGTTTGGTGAGGAAAGTTGGCAAATGTATCAACGGTACTGGCTTTTCATGCTGTAGCCAAGCCTCGCTTTGGGAATTCAAAGAGACATCACCATGAATCAAAGTTCACAGAGAGGCTGTGTCCAGCACTTGCACACTGTCAGGGAATGTGAGGGGCTTTCTGAAAGGGGAGGTGTCAGATGACTGACCCGACTCTGAGTTCTCTGCCCAGCCAAACATTAACTTATCCAGACACCTTTTGGTCTGCTGAGGGTTGGATGTTATGCAGCACTGCAGCCTGTGCATTTATCTCTATGGTTAATGTTTGGAGTAGGTAGGAGGTTATTTTTGCTAGTGCATGTCTGATAGTTTGCCTGTTGGCATGCATCAGTGTGTGTGAGTGCATTGGGTCATGCGTGCGAGCCTGTACCTGGGAGGTCTGTCCCTGTTGCCCCCATGTTAGTGCCAAACTCCTAAAGCCTCTAGTGTGCAAACTCCATTATTTGTGTGTGTGTGTGTGTGTTTATATGCAGCAGTCTTAGGTCACAACCTCACCTTTCTCTTTGAACTAGGATTAACTGAAAGGGAGTGGAAGAGAGTTGTAAAAGAGATGAACACAACAAACAACACCCTTGTCTTTCCACATGTTTTTCCTGTAACGAACTGTACTGATATATACAAATTAGCTTTTAAAATGCCTTAATTAAATTATACTACAATGTCTTGTTTTTATATGAAAGCATATATATCTTTTTTTAAACCAAGTGCAAAAACATGCAAGAAAGAACAAAATTTTTAAAACTGTGATGTTAAAATAAGAGAATTTGTTTGGATTAACTGACAGTTTCTATCGACAAACTGGCCAATCAATTAGTAGTAGTAGTATTCAGAGGCACCTTTTTGGCTTTGTAGTACTATGTTTTTTGTCACTTCTCTTTCACCTTGCTCTGGCACTTCTTTCTACATCCAAATAAGACACCAGACTGTTTTTGTTTACATAAACCTTAGTATTTCTTACTGTGAGTGTTGTGAGCCACACCCTCTACAAGTGAGAGGAAAATTAATAGAACTTAAAAAACAAATAATCAAAAGAAATAAAGAGGCCTTCTGAATTGACCACTGCATGGATGCAATGAGGGCAGTAATTTCTGTGTTGCTCTTAGTTTCCTGTAGTTTATTCTGTCCTTCATGTTGACATTGCTCTTTAAATGACCTTCTTTTTTCTTTTGTCTCCTCCATATTGATATGTCTGTCTTTTGGTCTGGATGGTGTTTGGCCTTGCTCATCCTTGCCCCTGCAGGAAGTTGTTAGCAGGCTGAGGTCACTATGACTGAACATCTGTTGAAAGGAGTTATTCTTTAGCTGCTCTTAACACACACCCTCAGAATCAGAATCAGCTTTAATCACCAAGTATGTTGAAGAAACTGTCCTCATGCCTGGTTGTTTTGGCATACAGTGAGTTGTAACGTCGTCCAGAGGGGAGGACTTCCAACAGTCCAGGATGTGAGGGGTCTACAGTGATCCTCTCCGCCCTCCTTTTGACCCATGAGGTGTACAGGTCCTCCATGGAGGGCAGGCTGGCACTAATGACCTTTTCTACAGTCCACTGAAGTCTGTACTTGTCCCGTTTGGTTGCTGAGCCAGACAAACCAGACAGTGATGGATGAGCAGAGAACAGATTCGATGATTCCTCTGTAGAACTGTATCAGCAGGTCCTGGGGCAGGTTGAACTTCCTGAGCTGGCGCAGGAAGTACATCCTCTGCTGTGCCTCCTCGGTGATGGTGCTGATGTTGGATGTCCACTTCAGGTCCTGGGAGATGGTGGAGCCAAGGAACTCTACTGTTGATACAGTGCTGCTGAGTAAAGCACATATACACTGTTTGATCTACCTGAAGACGCTTCCTTGTTCTTTTTTCTTTTTCATGATCATGGATGAGGAGAGATGAATGAGAAAGGGGAGGTACAGATAAATGAGAAGCCTTGAGCAGGAGTGAGCATCATGGGATGGGTTGAAGCAGATGTGACGGAGCTGTGAGGATTTGTGTGTTATGTTGTAGACAGGTCAAGCTGAGGTTCTTGTGTGGGAGGACTGTGGATATGTTTGAATAGTACAGCTAACAGGTTAGCAATTGTCTTTTTTTCTGACTAACAAAGTTGTTACTTCTTTCTAATTTGTAGACTGTTGACAAAAGAGAATATGTAAATCCAGACACGGATTATAATAACATTTACTTGACTTAACAAAATGTAAAAGTTTGCATGAGGATGTGAGTGTTGAGCTCAAGTGCGTACTATTCTGCTTTGATTTTCTTTGGAGCCCCTGTCCATGCACACTCTTATGTCTACATATGAAAGTGTATCCGTTTGTTTTTAAGTGGCTTAATGAGCCCCAACCTGGCACATTGTGTTATGTGTTAATAAATGATGTGCTTTGAGTTGTAATCCAGTAATGATTAGACTGTCGCCTTATTGCACAGCTTCCTAGCCAGTCCCCCCCCCCCAACAACCACATCCCTCTGGTATCCCATTCATTACTGGGGTGACTAGCTGCTCTAGCCAAGAGTATGTATGTGTGTGTGTGTGTGTGTGTGTGTGTTGCTTTAATCTTTGCACATGAGTGTGTGCTCTGCCATTGCACATAGTGTGTGGAAAAGCTTCTCAATAGTGGCATAAACCCTCTGAGCCAACATGGCACACCCAGCTGTTAAGAAGTGGTCCAAGTGTGTGTGTGCTTGTACTATTTGTGTATGTGTATCAGCCCCAAAGCAAGGTTTGTGATGTGACAGATGACTGCACACTTAGTTGCTTCTGAATGAGCCAGGTGATAAAACACACAGAGATGTTCCAGACTACAAAAGCTTTTCATCACTATGAGTGATGAGATCGGCATGATAAGTTTAAATGTTCATACCCGGAGTAGCATGTGTAAACAATATTATCAGAATTACTGATCAGGCAGGTATCAGCATATGTAATCAGTCGCTGCATAAAAAGTTGTTTGTCTTTTTGTTCTTTTATTCTTGTCTCCCTTCCTAGTCACCGCAGGATGACCCGGTCCAACAGCGTAACCACAGCTGTGCAGGCTGACCTTGACGACCCCACAGACGCCCCAGAGCTGCTACTATGTCACTGTGCTACCATACCACGCCAGCAATCCAGCGATGCTGCCACTTCTACTGTCAGTATCCAAGGCTCTGGGAACCACTACCACGCCTGTACTGGAGATGACTACGGAGAGGTGGGGTTTGACCCGTCTATCCTGCCCCCTCCAGACCCCTGGATGGACAGTGCAACTGAGCCAGATGTGGAGGCTTCGGAGGCCGTCGGCCGAGCAGTGTGTCCCCGTGATGGCCGCTGGTTCCTCAAGTTGCTGCAGGCTGAGACGGAGCGTATGGAGGGCTGGTGCAGACAGATGGAGCAGGATGAAAAGGAGAATGAGCTGCCAGATGAGAGTGAGTTGAATCATGGGGTTTAAATACCCAGATACGAAGACAAGAACGTCTGTTGTACACTGATATCAGGCCTACTTTTTGCCCTTCATTCTTCTCCTTTGAGTTGGAGGATGGTATTGGACCACACTAGCTGCTTGTTCCTGTCTCAGGCCCTCTGGCCTCCACAGACATATCAGTAGGCTGCTGCTGGCCCTGGCCACATAACTGATGTAACCCACATACACACACAACAGTACATGTATGTATGCACATGTCAAACCATGTTTTACTCACATGCACATACCAGACTAAGCAAACAAGCCTCAGGCAGTAGGCACTGTATTTACATCTGACCTTCCTGCACAGCTGATTTCATGTCTTACCAAAAATGTTGTTGTTATGTTATGCAGCTACTGTGCTATTATGGTTCCAGACAAGAGTTTCTCACAGAACATTCAGAACAGAGAAGGTTTCTCAAGGTTGTTTTCCCAAATCCCACACTAGCATATGCACACACAAATACGCACATCCTGATGGGGTTGTGTCTGTAGTGTAGATTCATTACACCCCTCTCAGTTTCTGATCCCTTTTCTTCATGCATTGTATGCACTGACAGTTCCTCTCCATAGGGATATGAGAGTCAGTAGGACTGAGAGATGAGACTGGCTTTGCAGTATGGTTTGTTTATCTCACATATTAATCTGCCAAACTGGCAGTGTGAGAGAAATAAAATGTTTCATTTTTAAAATATAGTTTTTATGACCATAACCTGGATCTGTATGAGTGGATATGCGCTGTAAATGTGGAGTGTGTGTTCATGAAGTCCTTAATTTTTGTGCAGCATTGCTTTGAATTTCAGTGCATTTCAATAATTATTTCACTTCCCTAAATGATTACTGTTTCTAAGAAGCACAGATAAAAGTGGATTCACAAACATTATTAATGCACCAGCGCTAACTGTGCAACATGCCTGCAGAATGCAGTTCTGTGAGTAATTGCGTTGTGGACTCTGCGTGTGTGTGTGTGTGTGTGTGTGTTTGCGCACCTGGCATTACTCACACTGTGGGGACTGAAACCTGTTTACACACTGACATTATGAGGACTCAGCCTTTCTGCTCCCCAGTATGTAAATCACACAATTTTAGGGTGATGACTTGGTTTAAGGTCAGGATTAGGTAAGTGATGGTTATTGCTAAGGTTAGGGACAGTCTGCAGAAAATGAATGTAAGTCAGTGTGAAGTCCTCAAGAGGAATAAAAACAAGTGTGTGTGTGTGTGCATGCATGTGCATCTGTGTCTTTCTGCAGTCCTGGAGAAGATCCGCAGTGCAGTGGGGAGTGCCCAGCTGCTGATGTCCCAGAAGTTCCGGCAATTCCGGGAGCTGTGTGAGGAGAATCTGGTATGTCACCTCATCCCCCCCCCCCCCAGACACACACACACCCACACCACACCACACCCACTGACATCATCCTGCACAAATCATCCTGACAGCCCAGGCCAGGCGCTCATTTACTATGCATCTAGTGTGGACACCACTTGCTGTCTTTCACATACAAAACAGGTCATGCAGTATGAAAACTAGGGGGATTCTTGAATCCTGAAACGAATATATACACGTCAAGCTTTTTTGTTTGCGCTTATGTTGTGGATATATCCACAATTGTTTTTCAATTTGCATGTCAAAATATTAAAACTATGTGTATTACATAATCCATCCATTATGTAACAATACAATTTGTCATATTGAATGAAAGGTAAGTAAGATTGTGGTTTCACCACAGTTACTGCATGAGTCAAAACAAAGCCTGATGAAGAAGTAATTATTCTGGTAAAATGCCTAATACTCCTATGTATTATAGTAGTGCTGACCTGATTCACAAAAATATTGGCATCATTTCAGCTCCAAATAACTTGGGTCTCAGTAATCGAAAGCTAATTCTGTGATTCGCTCAGCTGCTGTAAAACTGAGTCATCAAATAGCAATTATATTTTTCCAAATATACTTCATATGGGTATGTTCATGTGTACATGTGTGCATATTTTTGTCTGTCAGAATCCAAATGCACATCCACGGCCCATCTCCCAGGACCTGGCAGGTTTTTGGGACATGCTCCAGCTGTCAATTGAGAACATTAGTCTGAAGTTTGATGAACTCCACCAACTCAAAGCCAACAACTGGAAACCTCTGACCCCCCCAGAAATTCAGGTGCAGACACACACAGCAAATATCACTTTCGCTTAACCTTGGCTGTGTTTTGGACTGCTTTACTAACCTGCATGTTATCTGCTGTCATTACTGTATACAGTACTTTCAGTTGTGAGTCCTAATGATTCACTGTTAAGCTTTGTTGTAGCCTGCAGGTGTGTGTTGCAAACTGTTGCCTGCCTGATATCACCTATTGTTTGTTGTGTTCTGTCTTGTTGTTGACAGTGAGCTGCTTTTGAGAAGCTACTCTACTTGCCATGCACCGTTGGAGCCTGTTCATCTCCAATGGTCACTTTTACATCACACACTGGCCACCGCTGTGCTCTCTTACCCCATGCAAATGGCTGCCACTGTGAACCATAATCCCATTCAAAATTGCATGTTCTCATATTACACAGCTGCACCGCTCCTTCTAACCTGTTTGCACACTGGATACAGTTGTGTTGCTACTTAATGTTATGAGAATCGAGTGGTCCATCGTTAAGATTGTTTGTCATTCCTGTCCAGCAGAGAAGGATACCCCCTCCTGTGCCAAAGAAGCCCCAGAAGGGCCACCCTCCCCTGGCTAGGGATCGTTCACTGGAAAGTTCTGAGCGCCAGCGTCTAGAAGCTCGCAAACGCCTGCTAGCAGCCAAACGTGCCGCATCAGTTCGGCAGAGCTCAGCTACAGAGAGCCCAGACAGTATCGAGATCTATATCCCCGAGGCTCAGACCAGACTATGAGACTTGCAACATATGTACCTACATTCGTGCCCAGTACTACATGTCCCGTACACAATAGCACTGAATGGTAAGAATAGGGTACTGACATTATATAACCAAATTTTTACAGACTCCCCAGCTCACTGTGGGGTCAGTCTTGATGGAAGTTGTACAAACAAGACATGTACGTTTACAGTATTTATTTATTTATGTATTAACCCATCTCCCTTTCCTCATTTCCTTCTCCCAGCTTTGATGTAGCACTCCCCCTTTTTCTTGTATCAATACCTGTCCATCACTCCCAAAGATATAAATCACTTTTTAAGTGACCTGATATTACAAAGTAAGCCAAGTGTAGCACAGCTTCACATTAATGTTTCAGGAGCTGAAAATTACAAGAAAAGGCAGAAACATGCTAAACACACATATATAAATCAAATAGAGGTGATCTGTTGGATAATACTTATATTTATTAAGTTGATTTTATATTTTTGATCAAAATCTCGCGGTCTGAAATCTTTGTTTTTAATAACGGGCTCTAAAATGGGTCTTTTCAGCGGCAGGGGTCGACTCTGTCCGGATAAGGCAAAGTGGTTTTTGAGGCAGGCGTAGAATTTGTGTGCAAATCACTGAAAGAATCACTGTTCTCAAATGCCACAAACCTAATCTGTGTGTGTAAGAGAGAGAAAGCGTATGTGTCTGTGTGTGATGTTCAACAGATGTTCAACTCAGAAGTGCTTCCTATTTTTCTAGGTCTTAAAAGTCCTAGTTGAAAATGTATTATGATAGTAGCAGTATTAACAAATTGTAAACAACCCACCCATCTTGTCTCCTTTTAAACTGAGCAAAACATGTTTGTATAAAGGATATATAATGACATGGCATGCATGCTGACACAAAGTAACTGATATTTTTGTCTTTTATAATCCTTTCTCATGTTACGTTCAAGCTTCCCAGTGGTAGTTGTACTATATTTTATTATGTCATAGTTTTATTGACCGTATTGAGACTAAAGGACTGAAAAAGAACTCTTTTCTCCTCACTGTGCGTGCACTATCTCTGCCTCCTAATGAAGCAATTATTTGAAGATCATACAAAGGACAAATTTCTAATATTTTGTATTCGCTTTTAATTTACTGATTAGGAGAACAATGACTGTTTGACATTGTGATTATTATTATGCACTGACAACCAGGCCCTTATACTGTGTTAACTCTTTATTTATGTTTGTTCTTTAGCATCACAGGTACTTTTTGTCTTTTCTGTTTTGATAATCAGCCTTAATTTCTAATATGGTAGTCGAGCACAACACTAGTCTCAGGGGAAGATGTGTGCATGTGTGTGTCTGTGTGTGTGAAGATGAGAAAAGCAGAGTGTGATTGTGTGTGACCCATGGTTTTTGTATATAACACCTGTCACCAGGATAGGCCATGATGTTAAATACAGGAACTAGACTCCGTGCCATTTTGCAAATGGTCCAAACATGTCAGCCCTACTTACTTCAGCGTAACAAGGTATTTTCTGTCTGCTGCTTGACTGTGGAGACAATCCCAAGCCAGTGTGTTTTTGTTTTGATAACAGAATAGCAGGATTTTGGTGTGTTAGTCCAACTATTTGTATTGATCTGGCAAAGTTTTGTGCCATTGGATAATTAGGATATATTCCTAAAATTTGTCCCTATTGAATGTTACCTGAAGATTTTGCATAGAGACATTTATATATGAAGGATCTCGAGTGATGACGAAGTTAAAATATGATTTGTGTTTCCTTAAACTGGTCGAGACATGTTTTAGAGACGGTGCATAAAAATAGTTCAAACTTAATTCCACTTACTGTAAATGAAGCTCTTTTTAGTATTTTTGACTTTGGAACTTAAATTTGAATTTAAATGTCAAATGATTGACTTCTTCTTTATGTTTATTATATTAACATATCACTGTAATACCCCTGGTATAGCAGGAGGTTAGAAACCAGAATGCTGAGTTGTGGTTAACTGCTAAACTCAAAAGATACAGTCCTAGCAATTCTGAAGCTTGTGATGTAGTTTAACAGAAAACATTCAAATAAACAGTTGTACATAAGTAAATGTTTCCCTATGTAAATGTAAACTATAACCCAATCAAATAACATATTAAACAGATAAACATTTTGTAATTAATGTTATTACACTGTTGATGTTATGGCATGTGTCCAGGCTCTTATCAGCATTAAAAAAAATATTATTGCCATAATTCAGCTGTGTTCTTTTCTTCCCGGCCTTTACATGTGTTTACAATTAGAATATAATTAAACGGATTACAAGGCCTGCGTGGTCTGTTTTAAGGCATTTCCCTTCCACAGGGTGGGTCCCCATAATTAGACAGCACTTTTGGCCTTGGTTTAACCTCGGTGCTCTTGTACATGTAGCTTCTAGTGATTCGCCATTCACTCATCAGTCATGCTGAGGGCCGGCATGCCGATCTGAGTGGCTGAAGCTCGGGGGTGGGGGAAGTAAAGAGGGCATTGCGGAAGTGGGTCAGCCATAACCTGCCATGGTGGGCTTTAAGGTTTGTTTAAACGCTTACTGGTGATTATATCCTCCTGATTGGACCCAGTAGTAGTCAGTGACCCTGTAAGTGTTATAAACCTGAACATTTTTTAAAAGTCATTATTACTGATGTTTTAATGTCTAAGTAACATTCTATTGCTGTATTTTTATCAGGAAGGATCTCATGTAAGATTTTCTTTACTATTTAATCCAGAATAATGTAACATTTTATAAGATCATGGGTTTTTTAATATAAAATCTTTTTTTAATGTAGCTATAGCTGTGAATAAATAGCTGTGATAAATTTCTCCTGAAACATAGTTGAGCACAAAATTACACATAAAATGAAAATATTCATGTTATACATGTTAATTGCTGGATGTAATTTTAATCTAGAAAAGAGTTGACCAGATTTTATTCCTTTGAAAAATTGTTTCTATTGAGCTCAAGGCAGGAAGCTGTAATCAATGAACGGGCTTCTCTGTTGGTCTTGTATTTAGGCCAAAATTGTTGCAGCACCAGAAGGAAACAGCTGTCCGCCTGAATGAGGCTGCACACTCAGAAGCTGCCTTGAATTGACTGCTGAGATTCACACATAAGACCCTGTTGACAAGGAACTGTTGACTTCTGCTGTTTGTGCTAATTTATGCAGGATTATGCTTGTTGGCTGGAGCTGTTGTAAACCTCTCACACACAGGAGTGTCTGAATGCCAGTAGCCTGGAAAGACATGAACCTACTATTTCTGTCCTCTAGTACTCTGTATTTTATCTACTGAACATTCTGACTCAATACTCTCTCGTTAAAGGATAAAGTCACAAAGTTCAATGATTGAAATGCTGTAATGAGAATGATCAGTTCTGAGATGTAGAAAAACAGAACTTTATTTGAATCCCATGTGACCTCTAGTTGCCACAAACATTGCACAGTATGAAAAGAAATCACATCATTGGGCATCATGTCACATTAACTATATACATACCTATTATACATGAAAATGCTTTTTGGTGATTTCAAAATGTCTTTGTCAGGTTGTAAAACAGCATATGCAGAAAAAAATTTAACAACCGTAGTGTTTAACATTCCAGTCCACTGGCCATCATTTTTGCTGAGTGATATGATGAAGACTCAGACTAAGAACCTGCTACACTGGTCATGTGAAATATCCCTTGGTGAATAAAAAAAAAAAAATCTAAAGAAAAAAAAGAATGTTTCTTCTTTTAAAATAGCTAAAAGCAAATTACAAAAATCAAAACTATACTCATGACAGAACATCTACTACAGTAGTGAATAAGTTTGTCATAGATGCCAAGAGCAAAGCATGTTTAAGACACTGAGATGACATCTGCCTGCCTTTAGTGTGCAAACAAATGAGGCAGACCAATAACGAATTGATCTCTGAAATGTAAAACAATAACTGTGTGTGGGTGCGACCAGTCCATCGGATAGGCCTGTGAAGGAGGGCAGCTTTGTGCTCCTGCTCCATTCTCTAAAATGATTTACAGTATAATGGAAAGACGTAAGACAGGCAGCAATTCTCCGATAATATTTTTGGTCCCTGTGTGCAAATAAGATACACGTGTAGATACGTACGCATATATATGAAATGAATAAACAACTTACAGCCAAGGCACCTCAATACAATTAGTTTTTTGTCAATAAAAAACATCCTCATCAATCTGATTGGTATACCAAAAATAGAAATGATCAGGCTTTAATGTGGTTTTGTTCTCTGTTGCGTGCAGACAAGTCACTGAACTCGGAGGAGTTTGAGATACAAAGTCCGTCTCTGTTCCCTCCTCCTCTTCTTTTGTCATTTCTCCCTTTAGGAGACCATCTGTTTGGCTTGCAGCTCCATCTCTGCAGCCCGTTTAAGGGCCACGTCCACCAGAAGCTGGAAGCCACTGAAGTCTTGTGTAAGGTCTGGAGGGGTGGGGGGAGGAGTGTTGAACAGCCCGCTGCGGGGGCTCATGTTGCCCTCCATGCCGGTGCTGGTGAGAACGGTGGTAGTGGTGAGTGGCTGGTTTACCGGCCCTTCATCCCAGCATCTAAGCAGCGCCTGTGCAGACTGCAATGCCTCAGCTCCACTGTCACAATTCACCCCTGGCACAGAGGGGTGGGAGGATGTCGGGCTGGCCTGCATTACTGCGGTGACAGTGGTGTGACAGATGACAGAAGGCCGGGTGGGCATGAGACCTGGAGAGGGGGATGTGGAGGTTGGAGAAGGTATGGAAGGGGACGCTGCCTTCCTCAGGACACCGGACACAGATGGTTCGAAGCTGGAGGGGTGGAGAACGCGTTTGTCAAAGCTCTCCTCTGTACCTGCTGCAGGGCTGCTGTGTTTTGGGGACTGGGAGCTGTCGGAGAAGCTGTCGCCAGCCTTGCTACCTTTCCTGGATATGGTGAACTGGTTGGGGTCTTTGCCATCTTTCCTCAGCATCTCCGGGAGAAGTCGCCGCCGTGCATTAATGAACCAGTTGCACACCTGGAAAATACAGAAAAAAAAAATTCAATGTAGTACGAAAGCCACATCACATGACCCACTTATGTTCTGCCTCCCAATTTATCCCCAGGTGCAAATGCACCTCTTTTGTCAATAAACAAGTCAAGATTTCACACAAGGTTGTATATTTCACACCAAACAACCTCTTGTTTACTACTGAAGCACTGCAGAAATGAAAAACTAGACCTCTAAGATTTACAGCAAAGATGAGCACATCTCAAACTATGTGAAGCTAAACATTAACTTTGATCCAAAAATCTAGTTTGGACTTATTAATCCTGCATTTAAAATATCTTGCAGTAAAAACTAATCTTCTTTGTCATAGCAGTAATCATGGTCATCACTCTCTCCTTTTGTCATCAGCCCTCCAGGCCAGTCGTAACTGGCTCGGGGAGGCTTGTTGCTTTAACCATGTAAATGACTCTGCATTGTTCCCAGACAGCTGGGATGGAAAGGGGCTGGAGGGAGGGAAATTCCTGTCCAAGTGTCTCAGCCAAGCCCACAGCACACAGGGAGTGAGTTTACTCATGTTGTCTCACTGGCTTTCAACATTGCAACATCAAGCTGGTTTGAATGACCTTCAATTCACTGTTTGTGTGTCATGTTTTGTTTGCCCTCTAGACAGGAAATGATTCAGTCAAACCAACGCTTGCTTCCCTTTTATTTTACAGAGGTCTGTTTACGCTCTAAGTATTTACTGGTAGCAAAGGTTTTAGTTAACCTATCCGTGTCCTTACCTGCAGTGTGGAGAGCTGAGTCTGCTTGGACAGGAGGGCTTTCTCCTGCTCAGAGGGGTAAGCATTGTAACGGTGCTCGTACAGCCATTCCCTGAGGATCTGAACTGACTCCTTGGGAAGGTTTCCCCGCCGCTTCCTCTTCCCGTTGCTTCCCGCACTGGAGGACAGATCCAGAGGAGCGTCCCCGCTGTCCTCGTCGTCTGTCTCACTCCCTGACAGCATCATCAAACCTGTTCAAGTGAGGGGGGTAAAAAAAATGGCGTGTATGAGGACGGTATCCTCTGCCGCAGCTGTTTACCAAACACAAGCTGTCTGGGAGGCAGATGATGTGTCAGAAGCAAGCTGTCAAGTTCAGCCATGTGATTAATAAGAGGACCCAGGGAGGGTGTGAGGGGGGAGGGATAGAGGGGAAGGACGTCACAAAGGCTTGTCTGATACTGTGTCAGTTATAAAACCTGCCTGGACAGATACGAGCCAGGTCTGTTGCACACTAAGAGCACATTGTGCATGCTCTGCTAGGTAAAATGGGTTGACCACAAGAACAATCACAGTACAATGGGAGGTTCTGCTCTGAATAATAGAAGTTGCTGCTATCTTTTAAAGTTAGTGATTGAGATGTGTCTAATTAAACTCAGTATTTCGGCCTTTGAATTTCTTTGGGTGTTGCTTAGGGAATATAACCCTGCTTATAAATTCTTAGAAAAACCTGGACTGGTCATATTTTTTGCAGAATTAATCTGTTTTCTGCTGATTTTGATTTTATACTAGACGCTGGCTGCTGCTTATTGGATGTTTATGCCATTTATGACACCTGAATTCCAGAAATGTGCAATGTAAGCAGCCCAGGCAACATTAAGAAAATTGCTGAAACAAGAATAACAGTCCACAGCCCAATGCAGTCTGGTCTGAGGCAAACAAGTGGGAAAGGAATAAGAAAGTTCCTATGTGAGCGCGGCCAACAGGATGAGGTAATTACGTAGGCTGGAGCGAGAGGGGAAAGGGGGAGGGGAGACCTGTTGCAAATCAGCGTCTCCAGACTAAACAAAAGAATCTAGGGCTCCGTGGTCTTTTGTATGTGATTTAAAAGTTTCTACACGCAAACGGAGACTTCGCATTTAACTTCAGTTTCCCTCAGATATCACAGAACAACACTGTGGGTGAATAAAGTGCTGTAGCCCAACGAAGACGTTGGTTTTGTAAGTTTAAACAACTTGAGTGGTTTTCTATTGTGTGTGCGCGCGCGTGCGCCGCACCACGAGGTCCTTCAATCTACTAACAAGGCGACGGCAACTTCCCACAATGAGGTCAGGAGGAACATTAGCCTACATTTGGAGTAGATACAATTTAAAGGTGTTTCCGTTCGCGGTACATTGTTAAAACAACAACAACAACGTGCAACATTTAAAGGTCTCGCGCTATGAAAATGTAACGCTTCAAGTTCGACAGCCAACAAAAAGTAGCACAACCAGCTTTTGTCGAACTTCAACACAAATGTGTCGCTCGTCTCTTAGTGAACTTTTATTCGAGCTAAAGGGTCGTTTAATCCAATTCTGACATCCCATGGGACCTTTCAACTTTGATTACAATAACACCGTGCTAACAAAAATAACACAAGGCGACGGCGTCGTGTGTTGTTGTGTGAAAACATGAAGAAAGCGTATCAACAAAGCCAAAGTGATGTACACACGTAGATATATTGACTTGTGACATCGCGCCAGCACATGGCAGCAAAAGCCCCCTGTCATGTCTGGGAAGGAAACAATAGGCTGCGTGGTTTGCATGTGAGGGAAATCGGTCTGTATCCTCCTGCTACCTAAACTCATTTTGAGAGATTTTATTTTTAATCAAAGAGCATCAAACCTACCCCTTTTCGCCTTCATCTCCGTAAGAAAATGCCCACTTTCCTCGTCAGGCGCAAAAGATAATTGTCTTCTGTGTCAGTGCAGTGTCTCCTGATATCCCCAGTGTGTGTCCGAATATCCTTATTCATCAAAAGTCGTTTAGTTTTTTCCTTTTCGGGTGTTTTTTTCCTCGTTTGGAGACTCGAGCGGGGGCTTTACCCGAGAGCTGCTTCCCGTCGGCTCTAAGCCTTTTTCTCATTGACTGTGTTTGATTCTGAAACTGGGTGACAGCATCTTTGACAGCTGCGTGACTCAACGCACAGAGATCCTCCCACTGTGGAGGGCAGAGGAAAAATCTCTGACATCAGCATGGCTGGTTCCCCCTGACATAACCTACATACAGTCTAAGCTTGAATTGCTGCAGACCCCCTAATAAATTAATACAATCAGACTGTGTAGTAATTTATAATCCAGAGAAGGGCATCGGTTTAAACGGACAGTCTGAACGACGACGACAACATCAACAACAACAACAACAGCAGCAGCAGCAGCAGCAACAGACTAGTGTAGAGCACTGCGGACCTCCTGGTAACATCTTCCACGAATAATAGCCACAATAAAAAAAAAAATACAATATTATTGCCACAGGCTATAGCTTACGTTTGGGACTTTCGTTTCCTGTATCACTTCAGTATTTCAAATAACACATCATGCAGAATTGTCAGTGGTATTTCATCGAATTCTAGGCTATAATGATCCCAGTGCAGGCTATTTCTGTGCTTTTCAAGAGTAGCCTGGGGTCTTATTGTGCTTTTTAAATTAGAATAGTAAAGTCATCATCATGTATTACAGTTAGGAGCCATTATTACCAGGATGCTGTGTTTATGAAAGCTGATTTTGTTGTATAGAGACAGAATCGTGTAGTATTTGTGTTGTTTTCTTTTTAATATTACCATTATCGAAACAAATATTTCCCTAATATCTCGCGTGGAGGACGTGAAAATGTATAGCCTGTATATTTGGGTGTAATAGAGGGATTGTGAGTCCTCCTCGTGGGCTACCAGAGTGAGGCTAGTGTCCGAGTTCGGTTTACTACGACAGAGGAAACTATCAATGCCCTCATTTGTATGCGACTCACAATCTTGCGACAGATGGTATAGCACCATCTCTTTATATGCATTTATTCCAGACAGGCCTTCATCTCTTCTTCTCGAGCTAAATGTCTCATGCCTCCGTGTGTGCACATGTAGTACTGCACCTGAATGCATCATAACAAGATGCTCGGGCTCCCTCTAGTGGTTATTATACTGCTTTGCAACAGGGGCTCTAGATAAAATAAACTAATTGACAGCAGCATTAAAGGTTATAGCAATAAAACACCATACAATACAAAAAAACACACCGATATATAAAATCTTCAATAAACAAACAGTTCATATGTTTAGCTAAGAAGAAGAATCATACACAAGTGTAGTCTTAATAGTCTTGAATTTTGCCAGTGATGCCAAGATTGTTGATTTAATTTCCCCATTCCAAACATTCCAAGTGGCTGTAGCAGAAAGCACAAACTGGAATGCTGTTGGTAGTACTGTGCCCAGACTAGATGCTCAGACAGAATAACATTAGCATGTAGAAATGCCTTCAACCGATTACTCAAAGGTCAAAGTGTTTATTGTCATATGCACAGTATGGAAACATATTTCCCTGTACAATGAAATTCTTACTTTGCGGTCCACATGAATGCCATACAATACAAATGAGATATGAAATAGATAAATACGTAACATATAATCTAAGGCACTTTAAAACAGCAAGTGAAAGAGATAAAAATATATATGAAAATAATAAGAGAATGTATGCTACATATTCGCAGGTTTTTCCAGAACCGTATGGCCAGCACAGACTGGAAATAGACCGTATTTAAAGAGGAAGCATTGCCACCTTTTAACAGAGGTGTTGGCTAGTTCCAACCCCTGGGAATCTCATTTGTAGACTGAAAATATATCTATAATAATGTATATTATTTCATGATTTGTCAGCATAAATTTACTTTAGCTGCAGTGGCAAATGAGTCTGCTGTGGCTATTATCGATAAGCACACACATGCTTAGTAGACACAAGTAGTGTGACTCTTTCAGGTTAGACAAGCTTAGTCAACGTATCAAAAATAGAGATATGATCAAGTTAGGAGCCAGGCCCATTAATATACTGTTTAACTGTTACAAAATTTATAGCTAGCCTTAATAATAAAAACAAATAATACAAATTCTAAATCATATAGACTTTTTTTTTATAGGTCTGAGTGTAATCTGTGTAGGCTAGTCATAGGAGTATAGCCTATTTTGTTTCATTGAAATATTTGCTGAACTCATTTTAAAATCACTGAAAGTTAATCATGTGAACTTTTTCAGAAGTATTTTGTTTGTTTCATTTTTATAGTCTAAGGTATAAAAGAGGGGTGATGTATGTATTCAGAAAATTGCTCATTTTTCTTTATATACGCTTCAAGTAGTACCTACCTGTCCATATTGATTATATTGGAAATAACCTATAGCCCACGTTTATCTAGGGAAGTAAAACGAGTAAAACGTAGCCTGTGCCTAAAATCGGCATTACTGTTCAACACGTTATCACTCAGGTCGTTTGACTGACACAACAGATCCTTCACATTTGTCGACTTGGGTAAACACCGCTTTAGTCAGGACATGAAAATGGAGAACTGCGTCAAGTCGCAGACAGTAACAACGAATAATAAAGGAAATCAGGAGGTTGTGCGTTCAAAGTAAAACAATCTGGTAGCCTATAATAACAGTTTGAATTACATTAAATCGCTTAGTCTTCCTTATATTGTCTTTTTTTATAATGTATGTATAAAAATGACAAATGGTCTGGAGCGGAATACACTGAAAACAAACGTGTTTTATACTGAAGGGCACTTTATTATGTGCTTGTAGTCAGTTTTAGCCTCAGTCACCTTGAGGATGTTTTCCGGATATTTTTCTGTCGATCACTGTCAAAAAGCAGAATTAAATTTATTTAGATGAAATGTTGTAGCATTGTATAGGCGCTGTAAAAGATGTTTTTTTTTTTTTTTTGTGTGCAAATGTTAGAAATTTGGCCACTAACTTTTTAAAGCGTTTTCACAGCAGCAGCTAATGTAGCCGGTTTTTAAATTAAACACAAATGTCAATGTTACTTTTACCGAAATAAGCCGACAATGAATTTCTTTATAAACCTTTTAATGTCAGGATTTTATTTTGAATGTATTTAAACGGAAATATATTTTTATGTCTCATCTGAGCTGACTGTTGAGGCAGACCTACAGTCAGGAGCTAAAATTAGGGAGGCTCCCCAACAGAAATTACGCAAGAAGGCTAAAGTGGACAGACTGCGTGTCTGTGCGTGTCTGTGCGTGTCAGTGGTTACAGGGCTCAGGACCATGGGGACGTTCTCTACAACTTTGCTGCTGTTAATGACATGGAGGGTATTTTTAGCTGCTGTTGTCATCTCTCCGTAACAGCCCGCCTGTGGCGCACAGTATAAAGGACTCCTTCAAAATGCAGCTGTACAACAGTGCGCTGACACACTACCCGAGGTTGTCGCGCAAAGTTACTATAACTTTATCGAGCGGATCCGAGCGTCAGAACGAGACAACACCAAGTTCCTCTGACGCTGATAAACCGGTATTTTCACACGCAGATACATCTTCAACGACCAACGGGAGTCCGGAGAAAGAGGCTGCTTCTTCCGCAAACATGCCTGCGTTTTCATGTCACGAAGCCTCGTCTATGAGGCCAATTTACTTCACGTCGACTGCTGAGATATTAATCCGCAGGCCCGATGGAGTGGAGAGGTCTGTTCCTGTCCATATCATGAGAGAGTCTAAAGCCAAACCGCCCTCTCCCAACTCGCATAATGGGGAAAGTATCATCTGTAATGACTGTGACTCTGATGTGATACTGGATTGGATAGATCAGCTGAGAACTGGGACAGATGAGCTGTTCTCTGACTGCCCAGAGCTGCTTGGAAATCACCTTTTAAACTGTAACAACATCTGTGGACCTAGAGTAGAAGAGTACAAGAGGACAGTGGGAAATTCTAGCGAAGTTGACACAGTTTCAGTGTCTGATGTCCCCTTTAGAAGCAATGGATGGGCCTCACTACCAGAAGACGAGCTAGTTCCACCCAGGGAAGCTCAGCCCGAAGAGCACATACAGGAAGATTTTAGTGATCTGAGCAGTGGAAAAACAGCTCCAGTGTCGGATATGAGACAGGCCTTCGAGCTCAGTGTTCTGCAGGAGTGTCCTCCACAGAGATGCCAAGAGAAAGGAGATGTTAATGATAAAGTCACTTGGTATCTGGCTGAAGTAGAGAAACAAAACAAGTACCTCCAGGAGAGGCACAAATACAGGTACCACATCATTCCAGATGGCAACTGTCTGTATAGAGCTGTGTGCAAAGCCATGTACGGGGACCAGGCGAGACACAGGGAGCTGAGGGAGCACACGGTGCACCACATTGCTGACCACTTGGACGAGTTCAACCCCATAATCGAAGGTGATGTTGGGGAGTTTCTGATCAATGCAGCGCAGGACGGCGCCTGGGCCGGGTACCCTGAGCTTCTGGCCATGAGCCAGATGCTAAACGTCAACATCCACCTGACAACCGGGGGGAGCTTGGAGAGCCCCACTGTCTCCACCATGGTGCACTATCTCGGGGAAGAGGACGCTTCGAAACCAGCTATCTGGTTGAGCTGGCTCAGCAACGGTCACTACGACGTCCTGTTGGACAGGTGTTTCCCCAACCCAGAGTACGAGGACTGGTGCAGGAACTCACAGATGCAGAGGAAAAGAGATGAGGAACTGGCAAAGTCGATGGCAGCCTCATTGTCCAAAATGTACATTGAGAAAAATGGATCTGGGTGAAAAAAAGATGCTCACTGTTACATATTAGTGCAGAACTGATTTCTGAACATGCCTGGTTTTTACATGCAGTTAAATTATTTTTGTAAGGTTTATATTGTGAGAGAAAAGAAGTGCAGTGCACGTGTTGTTTTTGTACATGCTAAAACTGCCAAATTAGTAGCGGTTGTGTCTGAATGTGTGTGAGGCAGTTTTTCCCGATATGTTGACATGAGTGGAATACAGTACTTTAATGTTGTTACTGTACATGAATGTGCTTTTGAGGTGACTTATTGGCAGAGCAGTTATTTTTTATAATGCCTTTGCTGCGTTTTGCTGTTTCCACATATTGTAAAATACAAAGAGACTTGATTTGCATTTTTATGACTTAGCTTCAGTGTTTAACGTCTGTTTAGCCCATCTCTTGCACAAATGTGTTTAATTTCTGTCTGCTAGAACAGTTCAGCCATTATTTTTTCTGTTATTCCAGTTCATTTTAGGAGTTTGAACACATATTAGAAAAACATTTTGCAACAGTTTCTCATTTAGATGACATGGTAATCACTTGAATAGTACCTTTCTGACATTTCCACACAGATTATTATGTTATATCACTATGATAATCTCAGTGCGACATTGACCATAATAGAACTCAAACTGCATAAGGCAGATGATGTGATATATTTTGCACTCATTTCCACCTTCTGCTGTCCTAATGTGAAACAGGATGTCTGGATGTTGTTACAAGGAGTGACACTGGAGCCCGCAACCTCCTGTTCAGGTCCGACTGCAGTACTCATAGTGTCAGATCGCCTGGAACCTGTGTCAGAGCTTTCTGGATGTTGAACGGTGCTCTGTCACAGTTTAGTGCAAAGATGCAACGTCACCATGTCTTTGTTCTGTTTGGTTTCTGACTTTGATTAAACTAAAGCTCATTGCTCACATACAATGTGAGAAAGGCGCCTCAAGAGTGAGTTTTGTTTTCCTAAGTTTGGACTCTGGATATAGTTTTATATTGTTCTGTATTTCATGTTGTGATGTTTACAGTGTTTTCACTTTCAGATTTCACCTTAAAAATGTTCCATTTTGTAAATGTATGATATTTGTGCTAAATCTGGCAGTTTAAAATGTGTAGATTTATAATAAATATATGCATACACGTCTGTGTCAGGTTATTATTGAGGCATTACGGGTCAAGAGTTAATCAAGTGTGTGAGGGAGCAAATTAAGTTTCATAAAATAAAACCCAAAGAGCAAGATGAACCACCTTTAAAATTTATTTAAGAATAACTACGAGAAGCTGATGCTGGAAATATTTCCATGATGTCAAGTGATGTTTGTGGTTCTCAGCATGTTTTTTGTTAGCGTCTTATGCTCATGATCCCTTATCACAGAATACATGGGTTCTGAGCAGCTTGCTCCTTCTTAGATGGTTTGATTTGAATAAGCTGTAGAGGCCTTTGGACAAAGTAAGAAGCAAATACCCTATAGAAAATATGAATAGATTTTTTTTTTCTTATAATTTGCCTACAGCTTAGTCATCCTGCGCCCCCTTTTGGGGGTCCTCACCCCTTGGTTGAGGGCCGTTACTTTATATATTCTTGTATTAGACCAGGATGTAGTTGTATGGTGATTTGTCTTCCCCTCTGTCCAGGATGCCAAGCTGCCTATAATGTTGCACGTTTCGTCCATTAGGCGGCGTTGCAGCACCCCATATAGACTTTGACTAAGTTGTTTGAAAAAAAAAAACACATTATAAATAAAAGTGATTACATTGAAGCTACATGAGTTAAATAGACTACACAATCCTCTGAATTGTTAAAAAAGTGAAATGTTTCATTATTAGTACTATGGGGAAACTTTGGAAGTGAGTTAAATGTTGAGTTAAGGATTACAGTCATTATTTACTAGGCCTAGATCCTGACATTTGACCGTTTGACAAGTGACAGTTGTTCCTTTTCACGGGGTGGGATTACCTACACACACTTTACTAAATCTCATCCCCGAGGCTTTATAGTGATGACGTAATCCTACATGGGGACATCCAGGAAAAATCGTCTTTATCTTATACCTGAGTAGTGAAAGTGCCTCCAATCCCATTGGTTAGGCTCCTGAACAGAGCGCAGGTGAGTGCGGACCCGGCAAGCTGCCTCACCGCAGTACTGGCACACAGTCAGCACAGAGACACGGAGGGAGCAGAGGAGAAGTCACCGACAGAGGCTTCCCACCGGCGTGTTTGTGTCGTTCAGCGTGTCTGTGAAGGATTCCCACGGACAGACGACGGCGACGTCGTCACCTTGACGCAGTTCATCCCTGGTGCTCGGAACTTACCAGTGTTTTTGAAACAAGACTGTCGGCTTTCGTGTGGCTCTGACCTGAGACGCAGAGACATGTCGGGACACCGGGTGCAGTTCGCAGACCTTCCTCGGAGTAATCACAAAGGAAGTCCCAAATTTCACAGTAAGGAAATTTATTCAGGTGCTTAATCTTTGCTTTGACCTTGATTTCATCGGTAACTCCAAAAGACTAACCTAAATTAAGAGGAAAACTCTTGGAACATATTTTAGGGACAAACCTCGGTAGCTGTCAAGAATTTTGTAGTAAGTATAGTTTTGTAGTCCTATAATAGTAGGCAAACAGTTCACACAGGAATTACCACTGGAATGTGGGTTTTCTGTCATGTAGGGTGGTTTATTGTAGCCACATATACAGCAGAAATTAGGCATGTCACCCACATGTCACGTTAACTGTAGTCGTGGTAATAAACCTAATGTAGAAGCCGCAATAATCGGACATTAAAATACAATAGGCTAAAAGTCCTAGCTGTTTAAGGGGAGTTTTTAATTAAGCAGGTTATTGAGTCCTCCAGTTTACAACCAAACTTGGTTATTTGCTGTCTCATCTCTGTGTGGACATGTATACGCTGCTTATATGCTTGTGGTCATACTAAATGTGTTATGTTCCTTATGCATGGCTGGTCAGTGGTTATTTTGACATTTAACTAGAGAGCCACTCAGCATGTGCATCAGTGGTATGATCCCATTCAGTCCCTAGTTAATACACTGACCAGAAGTGGCAGGTGCTCTTTGCAGTCTGCAGCTGACTTTTTCTCCTCAGTGAGTGCAACACTTGTCATGCTCTGTCTTAGTAAGGTGATGCTTACCTGGAGATGCACTGATAACTTCACTGTATCACTCATAAAGTACAGCATATTAATTATTATAAAGTAGGGGTTTTGTGCTTTTATTGCTCAGGTTGGATGATTGAAAGATGTAATTCTGAGGCGTTCGCTGCCTCTGCTGCTATGTGCTGCAGTGCATGCGCTACAGCGTGAGACACAGAGAAGCTGAGCTCTTCGTGTTGACAAGCTGATTGACAGGATGTGAGCAAGGACAAAATAGAAAATTGCCAGTTTGCTGCAAAGACCTCCAGAGGAGTACATCTACACTCTGATTTTAGGGTTTGTATTTATCTGTGGTGGCATCTGTTCTGGCAGTTTGCTGCATGTTTTGGGGGGTTTTTCAGTCAGTAACATGCATGTGGATATTATGTTGAGAAGTGCTGATGTGTACAGGTTAAGCTCAGGTTGTATGCAGGGCATGCTGGGTTGGCGTGTGGAAGGACAGAACGGCAGCCTCAGCAGTAAACCACACATTCTGACTCAGCCCATCCATTTCTCCTGCTGTCCAGAGGCAAAGTGACAGCAGGGTCAAGTTTCAGTGTCTTCTTTTTCTCTCAAGATGTAGACACTCACCAACAGACAAACATATAATACACTCACATGCATAACCTCACAACCAGCCCTCCCTGACACTGCCTACAGTATGTCTGTTGTTATTCCAGCTTCTCTGCCCTGTGTTGTTGAGATACGGTCCATAAATCAGCCCCGCTTGCCTTTTACTGCAGGTTATAAGAAGTGTTTTTTGAACCGTGAGTTGTTTCAGACAGACAGCCATGAATGACAACTTGCCAGCTAAAAGTCTGAAACAGTGGCTGCCAGACTGAAAAGGTCATGTTCTTTTGCACAGAGAGAGTGGGACAAAGAAAGAGCATCGAAAGATTAACATGTTTCGGCAACATTAGTGGCACATTCATGATTTTACCTTTGTATTGAATGAACTGAATTTTAATTTTGGAGTCATTTGAGCTTTGTGTAACATTAATGCTTTTTAGGCTAATGTAACTTTGGAGTGGAGGCTGAATTCTGTACAGTTTGTCGCAACCAGGCATCCGTAGTTCATGCAGTTGCTAGGAAACTGAATGTGATGGGAGTGGCAAAGAGCATTAGGGAGCGGCTAATGGTGTCTCTCTAGTGGCCAAAAAGAAATCGATTAGAGTCCCTTTACAGAATAAGAGATGTTGACATACAATATGGAGAAGAAAAAAATCTGTAACAATCATATGTTTTAACATCAAACCCAGCATATCTACCATGTTATGTGCCAAATTCTAAACATACTGTCTGGGACTGAGAAGTGTTATTGACTGGTTTGTCAGGTCACACCTGTTTAGCACACAGTTTGTTAATACCGAAGACAACATTTCACTGCATACCAACAACAGCCAGATTAAACAACTTGTTTGTGCAGTGTGTAGACAATCCACACTTTGAACACATGCAGATAACACGGCTGCATCTTGGGGGTATTAAAATGAAAGATATTTACATATTCAAATACCTTCCCTGAATCTGATGAGAAGTTCTAAAATAATACAAATACTGCACAGTATTTTACTTGAAGTGCTACACAATAAATGGCTCAATCATAATAAGTAAGAAACCATAATTTGCTAGTGACTCCATTAGGCCATCTACACTCACTTCCCATTTTTAACAGTTTTTATTTTGGTCATTGTTGGTTTTGCTCTTGGTGTCTTTTTTTTCTATGTCTGAATGTCCTGGCACAAACATGACCGCGACCTATCATACTATCAGTCCATATGCAATAGCCTTGGGGAAATGTGAAAATCTACGTTTGGATCATAACTAAAGAATGTACTTCTTTACCAGCTCAGATTATATCTGTGGCAGTGTCAAGCAACCGGGGTGGATGTCGTTTCCAGTAAACTCCTCAACGCAGCATTTAGTTTTCTGCAAAAACAAACTGATGCAAATGTGAGGATAGAGCATGGCCTTAACTTTTTTAACTTATTTTCTATTGATAGTTGACTCACTGCTGCTAATGCCACCTTCTTCAGAAAGGTGTCAAATGCCATTTCTATTGGGCGGTCTGTCCCACTGAAGATGCTGTTCACATTGGATAGGCACTCGAGATGATCCTTCTGGAAATAGCTAAGCCCCTGAGATGCTAACCAGCTGTTTTCACAGAGGATTAAAAGCCAGTCCCTTAAGGGCTCTTAGGTTCCTCTTAAACACAAAGATTTAGGGTTGCTCAGTGGCCCTCTCTGCCCTGGAGTAATATGATGATGTATTTTTAGCTTTAACTGGAGATGTTGCTCTGATAAAATGCAGCAACCTTGAGCTGATATCCATTTTTTGCTTTTTGTTGCTCGAATACTGATTAAACTGAATGCATGACAATTGGTTGCAAAGATAATTACCAATTATTTCAGCGTTCTTGTGTAATGTTAAAGTTGATGTTGATTCATATCAACATGACTGAGGGTTAAGTCAAATGCATTGAATTTATTATGACTATTCAATGTTCTACAAAGGTAACTTATGCGTGAAACAGAAATCAAAAGGCTTACATTCCTTTTAGAGGAGCCTACTAAATGATACAGCCATCTTTTAAAATGTGCTACCAGTTAAAAGTTTGGTAACACTTTCCCATTAAATTGAATGGGGAAACCTTTGACTGCAAGACAATGTGTTATTGAGTGTATTTAATCTCCAGCATGTCCATTTTCTGCTGACATTTTCATATCCTTTCAGATAATATTTAGTAGATCTGGACCTGTTACATACTCAAGAAAGTGAAGGCACTTTGCTTCTGTTTGGCCTGTTTAAAAAAAGCCTCATACAGTAACTTTTGACTTCTGGTATTTTGCTCCCTCAGCATTTGTAAGGAGAGTTACAGAAACAGAAAGGTTATTCAAGAGTCAAAGGGAGGTGGAATTTCAAAAAGCACCCCCCACATGCACACACAAAA